AAAATTAATAATAATTGCATTTTAGCATAGCTTGCAATGCTTTTCGTAATCAGTAACAGATTGGCCTAGAGGGTACCGTTCGTGGAATTCTAATTTTTGCTCCGGGTTCAATTCTCGATTCAGGTTTAATATTTTATTATTTTTGTTTGATATTTAGAATTTAACGTTCACGTGTAAATAATATCAACATTTATTTGAGTTTTCGATTAATTTTATATTTTTCCATAATAAAGTCCTCCGTAACACCTGTAAATTTTTATTTTAATATTACTTTTGAAACATACGATCATATAAATGTTAAGTTATTCCTGAAACATTATAATTTTGTATTAATAACAACAATAATACGGAAGATGAGATATAATTTATTTCCACATAAAAACTATGTTCAAATTTACTATTATGAGGATGATAGTAAGAGCCAGCCCAAGAACCTAATATTAATAAAAAAAAAATCTTTTTGACACATGGCTCCAAAACATTATTAATAAAATTTATTCACTGCAGTTTTTATGTTTTTCTTGTTTCTGCGATAAATACAATCCCTACAATTGTGAATTTTAACATAGTTTTTATATGGAAATATATCATTTCTATACGGGTTGATTGTGATAGTCGTTGTGAATAGAGATCTGTCGTTGTATGCGTACCGGCATCAACGTTGTATGCGTACATATACCAACAAGGAAATCGACCCATAGATAGATAAATAAATATTTTAAAGTTACATCATAGTACAAATCTTGATTTAATGAAAAATGCCTGAATCAGAAGAATATTTACCCCCGTTTCTTGAAAATAATAAAACAAATTGAACATTTGTGCTGTGTACTAAACATAAGTTAATCGATTAGAAATTATTTCTATATTATTTGTAGTTTTTATAAATCTTGGAAGTTATTGAAATGGAAAATATTTTCTAGACAGACACATATTACAGTTGTTCAAAGAATGAGATTATATCGCCAGCGAAAAAGTAAAAAAAATACAAGCAGTCAATGAATGTATGTTAATTTCAATTACATGATGAGTTCTTCCAACACAATTATTACATGATGAGTGAAGTTGCGAAAACAATATTTGTTTAGGCATTGTTTAACGTAATCCACTGTGTGAACGAATATTAAAAGATTTATAATCAGCAATTACTTCATTTCTCTGATGAAGTTTCATTTCTAAATGCTAATTACAATAAAAACCGATCATGTCATATTTGAAGTATGACTTGAATTACATTATTATTTTTAAATATTATACATATTTTTAATGTTATAATATATATTTATAATTCATACTATATATAAGTATGTATAATGTTTGATACTAATAAATGCGTACATTACGAGTGTTACCATATCACTAATGAATATTATTCAAAATTGTTATATGATGTATTTATTTCTAACTTAAATGCCATCTCGTACAGTAGCAAATAAGTTTTACTTCAATCGCGTGTGAACCTTATGCGCACTCTTTTTTTTAAATATTTCGGTTACAATTATAAGTTTTTTTTACTCACAAATCCGATATGACAGCAAAGAACAGCCAGACCTATGGCTGCGGGCGCGTTTATTCTGGAGTGATATCCTCGCGGTTGCTGTCGCAAACGGCATGGACAGTCATAACCTAATTTAGGGATAAAAATATAAAAAATATATATAAAAATCTCTTTATTTGGCTTATATTTCAAAATTAAAATTATCTTACCAATATAAATGTGACTAAAAGCTCGACAGCGACAGCGTTACCACTGGAAACTCCTGAACCGGGTTGGGTTAAGCCTAAACCGTCTTTAACTGGATCTATAGCCTGAAGGGAAAGGATTGTTTAAAATAATATTTGACTAAATATTATGTAGTCTAAAATTTTGTAGTTTAAAATAATATTCGCTAATTTGTTGTTCTTGAAGTAATGTTGTTGTTCAAAATGTTTGCTGATAAAATTGTGACCATGGGATGTAAACATAGAGCAAATGTGCCTTACCCTGTTTTAGTGTTTTTCGCGCTCAACAGAGAGTCTACTGTGCTCTTTATCATTATTTTTAACGAACTGATTTTCCAATACATGTATTTCAAAATGCAAAAAATACACTTAAATTAAAAAATCAAATAAGATTTATAGCTAAAATTTAATAAGGTACCAAAGTGTTATAGACTATGATGTAATTGAAGCTAAAATGGAAAAGCGAACTCTGCTGATGAGCAAATCCAAATAAAATAAAAGGAAACACTCTAGTTACAAGCAAATTAATTGGTGAACTAGTTGTGTGCATGACATCGTGCATTAAGGCAAATTGCTGGAACTTCTCCTACCTTAATCAAACATTTGATGAATGAAAATAATCAATAACTGTTTTCAAATAGATTATTTATTATGAATACATACTGTAAATTTAGAGGTGCTTATTAAATTAGGGTACGAGCGTATTCTACAAATAACTTATGTGTATGTTTACATGAAATTTGTTCAATTTTGTTTAAATTAGATTTTTTTGATAATTTAGTTTTTTTTCAAAATTTTTTTATATGTTTGATTTTTTGGATTTTTTTTTTAAAAAAGTTTTTTTTTAATTTTTTGACAATTTGGAAATTTTTGAATATATGCGATTTTTCTGAAAATTTCGAAAAATTCTCATATTTTAATGTATGTAATGTAAGAAATCGATTTTTCTTAATTGTGATATTTTTTGAAATTTAATTTTTTTTTAGATGAAAAATTTCGAAAATTTGATTTTTTGACAATTTTCAAAATTTCGAAATTTTCTGTAAAAGCATTTTTTGCACACCGTCTACTCAAGCAAAATGTATTTTGAATTATTTTATTCGTATGATTCATTCTCTCAAAAACTGCATAACCGTTTGCACCTCCGAAAAGGCTAGACGTACATTTTGCAAAAACGTCTCGTGATCGGGTACGAACCCAATGATTTTTCAATCACACAAATCGGTTATTCCATACTGTCGAAAACTTCGAGAACATTTGTTTGAACCATATACTTGAATTTTAAAATTAAAAATCTTGTTACGGAATCCAAAAAAAAGACACAAAATGTGTACACATTAATAAAATCTCTATAAAATATTTTATGATTTCTGTCCCGTATCTCCGAACCGTTAGACCTGCCTTTGCCAAAAACTAATCGGCACGTCTCCTTATCAATACGAATCGAATGTTTTTTGAATTATCCAAATCGGTTGATCGGTGTTTCCGAAATCGTCGGCGAAAATTTGTATCCGCACACACACACACACACACATACATCCATTTTTTCTAAGGTATGCCAAAATGTTCAGAAACTCTGAAACATAAAGATATATAAAAAATTTCATTTTCGATTTTTTTTGCGATTACTATAACTTACCCTACGGGTAAAATTTTCATGATATTTCAAAGTATAAAAAAATCATATTTTCCAAATAGGTGATTTTTTTTCAAAAATTTAAAAAATCTCAAAAATCGATTTTTTTCAAAGTTTTAAAAAAAACTTAATCTTTTATAAAAAACTTAATTTTTGGTACGGGAAGTTCCAGCAATTTGCCTTAAGGCACGATGCCATGCGCCCCACTTGTCTATCTATCTAGGAAATTTTATAAACTACTCAACACATTTTTTAAAGAGCAAGTGTAACTTTCAGTAATTATTCTGTGAAAATTAGAATAAGATTTTAAGTGAACACTTGTTTTTTTAAATTATATTTCATTTTTATATTGTATGTATTATTATCTATTAATTTAAGTTATGTACCATATAATATCTATAATTGTACAATTGTGTTGTATAAATATAAAAAAAAATATATCTATCTATCTACTTACGTGTACGATAGACGCCCCCACAATCGCCCCGACGCACTGCGCCGCCACGTAGCACATCGCTTTTACTAATCCGATCTGTCCGGTGACGAGCATACTGGCAGTCACGGCGGGGTTGACATGACCTCCGCTCACATGGGCAGTGAACTGAAAACAAAAAACAAATACAAATGAAAATCAGTATTGACCCTCTCCTGACCACCAATGATAACAACAACAACTATAAGAATTGAATCAAAAATCAGTTATTAAACCTCTCCTCAGTGGTGTAACTATAGGGTGGCGTGGGTGGCAAAATGCCACAGGCTCCCGACCTAAGGGTGCCCCGGCCCAGGAAATAAATTTTATTTCACTTGAAACTTATATTTTATATTTTGTAAGTTCAAAGTCGGAGTTCAGGCTTGAATAGAACTTACATTCGGCCGAATATTTAGTTAGTTAAAACCACAGAAGTCGCCGCCACACAGCGAAAGTATTATATATAATATGATATCAATAATGAATTAATGAATTTAGCATTGTATATATGTAATAATTTTATACTTTGTCGACTTTTAATATAAAAAACGAACACGTGAAGAACTCTTTTCTCAATATCAGGAGCCTAGCGCGCCTTCGCGGAGCCTCATATCAAAATTTGTTTGGGGGCCCCTTAAGAAGAAACTTTTTATCACAAATTATTAAAATACATAAAATTAGAAGAATAGTTATTTATCATTCTAATTATTTATCTATCTAATTTTCTATAATTTCCTGAATTTTTCATAAATGATTTCAGATAAAAATATTCTCACCTTATCTTTTTTCGAAAAACTGAATTATTAAGTGATCTTTAGATTTTGTAATGATTCTGTCTCTAGGAACAATAGTGACAGGTCTGGTAGACACTTCTGTCCTAAAGTTTTTATTTAATTTTAGTTTTAATTTTGAATATCATCGTATTCGTGAGCACATACAAAGTTTTAAAATCTTTTTCAAATATTTTGCAGCAAAAATAAATTCTCTTAAAGCATTAGATCACAAGTTGAAGTTCAATACCGCTCGATAACTACGTCCAAGTTATTTAATTTTTTATAAATCATTGTTTTGCTTTAGATTTTTCATCAATTTCTGCTTACGCTCGTTGTTTTTTTGAAATCCAAAATGAAACTATTTCACATAAAAAGAAGTTTGCAAACTACAATTATTTTATTATGGGTTTTCCATTGTAATATTTTACTACTATCGACACAGCATCTAAAGCGCTATAAGCTTAAATTTAAAAATTAGTTAAGAATTAGAAAATTATTGATATGAATTTGAAAATTTAATATTAGACGCCACTAGTGTAGTAGAAAAATGATTTATCAATCATGAATTTTTTAAAACTCGTTAGCTTTGGGAATTCATATTCAAGATACTGGAAGTTTGTTCAAAGTGAATATATCGAATATTGGACATTAATATTAAACAAATTAAATCTCGTTTCTTCCGATGAATTAATATGTTCCAAATTTCAGTATTTTGCTACAATAGAAGTTTTCAATGATACTGATCTATTAAATAAAAGCTCTATAATTTGTTTAAATAAAAAAGACATATTAGAAATTCAGAATAAACAAATTTTAAAATCATTATTTAATAAATCAGCACCATAAAAAAAACTTTTGTTTAGATTCTGAACCATTTGCCAGGGAAATTTGAACAGAGGCGGAATTTGAATAGATGCAGGGTTAACTCTTGTTTCTTCAAGAAGAAGCTAGATGACAAATGTCTTCATCTTCGTTAAAAAAATCGTCCAAAAGGTATTGAAATGGATTGAATTTTCATTAAAAAAATACGTTTAATTTTAATTTCCATTTATTCTAACGTTGAAAATATTCACTGATATTTCGTTTTTGATTTTCAACAAAAATTAAGTTTTATGTGTTTTGTTATTTTTATATAATTACCACTAAATAATAATTATACCTCTAAATCAATACTTTACTTTTCTACCTTTGTTATAATTTCATAATTTAAAGCCATAAAATATAAATTATAGTTTAGTAAAATAGTCCAAGTTGGTTTGCTAATTTTGATAAAATTCATTAAAAATTGTTTTAGCTAGTAGTAAAACAGCGTGTAAATGACTACTATGTTTATTAAACAAAATTAGATAAATTAAAAATTGAGTACCACGATAGGGCCCCATCGGATGACTTTGCCACGGGCCCCGGAGGGTCTAGTTACGCCACTGCCTCTCCTCGACCACCAATGATAACAACAACAACTATAAGAATTGAATCAAAAATCAGTTATTAAACCTCTCCTCGACCACCAATGATAACAACAACAACTATAAGAATTGAATTCTTATAGTTCCATTGAATGATATGTCAGAATCGTGACTCTATCTGTCGCCTCGATTGGATTATTAAACTTTATAATGCGAAATGTTAATTCTGCATGAAAAATGAGGATGAGGCCAGGATGATAGGATGATGCGTTAATTGAACCATCTCTAGATCGTAGATCATGAGAGATCGGAGTTGAAAACGATAGGGGAGACCGGGAGATACGGGTAATACTGCAGAAAGACATTACCGAAGTTGGCGTAACTCTGGCGCATAACAGAAAAATGTTATGGCAATACCATGTGTTATGCGCCGACACTCTTATCTATTTAGCGTCACATTTATGCCTCTATGTGCATACTATCATATTTATTACTCTATGGACTCTACATCTCTCGAGTTCCACTCTACATTCTATGGACTATATATTTCCGGCTGGACAGAAGACCTCTACAATTAACACAAGGGACAGTCTCTCTCTATCTGTACGTCAAGAAACACATAACCTTACAATAACCTTTAATGAAGTTCTGTATAATATATATATTCTGTAATAAATTTATAAAACTTGTGTTGTGTTTCAAAATATCAAAATTACCTCCATCGCTGAAGGCAAATATATAACACATGTTATGAAGAACTTTCCATACTAAATATTGACAAAAGCCATGCAGTTGGTGTGCAGTCAGGCGTATTACTCGGGATGTCAGATAGAAAACCGAACTTAGAATTCGCACAAATGTAAAAAAAAACGATCTCAGATAACAGGGACTTTCTGACTCGGCTTCATAACATACGAGTGACGTTGGAGTTTATGTGTAAAAAGCCCGAATGCACAGCAAATGCAAGACATTTTGACAGTATTAGTATGATTCATTAGCTGATAATAATGTGTGAAAAGTTGGAGCGTAATATGGTCTTGCATAACATTTTTCTGTTATGGGGCGTTCAAGTATTACGTAGCACTATAGGGGGGCGGGGGGGTATTGATTTGCTTATTTTTGTGACATTTTGGTGACGTATTGCTTACTTTTGCTGACAAAGGGGGAGGAGGGGGGGGGGGGGTAAATATTGTACTAAATCTGATACGTAAGACTTGAATTGAACGCTTCCCCAATGTCAAAAAAACGATGTTAGATATAGGGGCCTTCTGACTCGGCTTCATAACATTACGAGTGACGTTGCCAGTTTATGGTAAAGCGCCTGAAATGCACAGCAAATGCAATGACATTTTTACAGTATTCAGATGATTGAGAGAAAGTTGGAGCGTAACGTAACATGGTTTTACCATAACATTTTTCTGTTATGCTGGCAGAAATCGGTACCTCAATACATTTTTTACCTTTACATCTACATCTTTACAATTTTTACCTGTCGATAGATTTTTACTACTATTTTTAATTTTTTTTTGTAAATAATAGAAATTTCTCCTAAAGATTTATAAAGTTTTTAGAAAACCAAACTATAAATTGAATTTTAGTTTTTTTTAAACCGTTAGATTTTTACATTTTTACTTTTGATAGGAATTTTTACTACTATTTTATAGTTTTTTTTGTAAATAATAGAAATTTTTTCTTAAATATTTATAAAGTTTTTACCTAGCAAACTATAGATTATATTACAGTTTTCGTACCGATAGATCTTTACATTTTTACTATCTATAGACTTTTTACTTATAAAATTATAGTTTTTTTTACTAATTAATTATGGAACTTTTTCTGATAGATTTTATAAAAAAACCCAAAAAACTATAGATTATAATATAGCTTTCGTGCCGATAGATCTTTACAATTTTACTGATCTATAGATTTTTTACCTATACATTTATAGTTTTTTTGTAAATAATAGAAATTTCTATTGTAAATTTATAATTTTTTACCTTAAAAACTATAGATTATATTATAGTCTTTTCGTACCGATAGATCTTTACATTTTCTTCACCTATTCGTAGATTTTTTCCTCATAAAATTATAGTCCTATTTTACTCATAAATTATAGAAATTCTCTTATCGATTTATAAATTTTCACCTAAACAACTATAGATTGAATTTAGTTTTTTATAACGCTAGCTTTTTTACATTTTTACCTCTCGATAGGATGTTTTACTATTATCTTATAGTCGTTTTTATAAATATATAAATTTTTTCTTAAAGATTTATAAATTTTTACCTAACAAACTATATATTTTAGTTTTTATAACGCTAGAATTTTTACTATTATATTTATAGGTTTTTTCAAACAAATAGAAATTTCTCCTAAATATCTATAAATTTTTTACCTGGAAAACTATAGTTTACGTACCAATTAAATTATAGTTTTTTTTACTCATAATTATAGGAATTTCTTATATCGAATTTAAAATTTTTTTCATATAGAACTATAGATTTTTTACTTACAATTCTGTAGATACAAATTTATTAGATCTGTAGTACAAATTTTACTTTATCGGTTTATAAATTTTTTACCTACCCCAGGATATTTCGGTTCGAGTCCTGGTACTGACAGAATGTTAGAAAAAAAAAGTATAGATAGAAAAAGGAAAATTGGATAATATATAGGATAAAAAAGATCAATTATATATAAAAAATTATAAACAAATTATTATCTATATAAGATTCTTTTCCATCTGACGTCATAATTTTCTATCGGGTTTATTTATTGATTTATTGCCGAGTCGCACCTTTTTATTTATCGTATTTTCTTACTTTATTATAATATTATTATTATTGTCCTTAGCACAGAAAACAGTTATAAAAATAATTTACACAATCCGCAATTAGTTAAACGCATTACACTTTTCATACGCGCGAAAACAAATGATTTATTAATTCGTTCGTGTAATTATTAAATTATCTATTTGATCGAATATAGGAAAGACTTGTGGTAAAAGGTGCAGGTGTAATAGAAACAAGACTGAATAATTTTCAATCTAAATAATAATAAAAAAACTTGCCTCTCTCTCTCGATTCCGATCATCGTATCAAAATCAAGAGGGCCTCGTTTTAAATTTAATTTAATTTCTTTGACCCTCCCGAGTGCAAAAAAACGACGACAATTCGCAAAAAAATTCACACGTTGACTTTGAAATTAACTAACTCGCCTTACCACACACACACACCACACATCTGAGACCTAATAACAAATTTCTAATCGGACGATGAATCAGAAAAAGAAAAAATTGAGAGAAAAAAACAAGTAATAACAATAAATAAACACATTATACTGGTTAGACGGAGAGCTGGGGTAAAGAATACAAGAGTAAAGGATACAAGAATATTGATAATATATTTTTAGTCAAAAATAATAAAGTAATGAATAGATAGTGGTGTAAAAAAGTTTTAGTAAATAGAATAAATTTTACACATTGAAAATGAAAATTTAGTCAAAAATAATGATATGTTTAAGTAATATTTAACTTCCCGTAGTATTTAACTTTCCTTAGTAATTGGCCAAAAATCGAAATTGAAAATTTTTGCATTTCTCGACGTTTTGAAGAAGGTTTCTGAACATTTTATACTGGACACCTCAGAAACTTAATGGATTAGAGTGTGTGTATGTATGTATGGATTCAATTTTTCGTCCACGTTTTTGGGCGCACGGATGAACCGATTTGAATGGTTTAAAAAACATTCGATCCCTACTGATAGGGAGATGTGCTGTTTAGATTTTTGCAAAGGCAGGCCTAGCCGTTACGGGAGATATGGAGCAAAGAGTGCAGAAAATACAAATCGAATTTTTGAGAGAACGGAGTATCGGATTTGATTGATCTAAAAAACCATTCAATTTGCAATGATTTTGAGAGAGGTGATTAGTTTTTGGCAAAGACAGGTCCCGCCATTTCGAAGATACAGAGCTAAATGTGCAAAAATGGCAGTTTTGGAGTGAACTAAGCGTCCGATTTGAATGATCTAAAAAACTTTCTGCTTGTATTGACAAAACAATTGCTTTTGAGGATAAAAATTATTACGTACGTAATTTTTTATTTTTCCTGAATATTTTTGTAATTATTTTGGATTAAAAATTCAGAAATCACCCACGGCTAAGCACAGTCTAAGCGCCACTCTGGTACAAATGTTTAACCCAAGTGCGTTTAGACTGTTTAAGTACTGAAGCACTATCTCCAATTTTGTGAAAAAACTATTGAAAAATGTGAAAATGCCGCCAAGCTAAGCACAGTATAAGTGAAAATGTCGCACAGATTTATTTGTAAATACGTTTAGACTGTGGCTATGCGGGAGCACTTTTTCAATTTTGGCAACTATTTTTTTTTAAATTGAATTCGAAATGAAAAGAGGATTGTTAATGTTCTGGAGATAAATTGATTTATGATTTACATTAGATTTGCTCATTAAATTTGAAAACATTTAATAGTCCTCGAACATTTCGTTACGGTACGGCAAGTTCCAGCAATTTGCCTTAAGGCACGATGCCATACACCACTAGTTTATTTTAAAATTTATTGGTAAATTTTTATTTTTATAATTTTTATAACCCAAATCAATTTTTATGCCAATTTGTGCGGAATAGATGGACAGTTAGTAGAAATTTATAGCAGATTTTATGTAAGTTCGTACAAATTTTATAATGAAGACATTTTTAATAATGTGAATCTCAATTAAATAACATCCGAAAGTAATATATTTTAATTTGTTACGACTTTCTTGTACATTCAATAAATAAAAAAATGTGGTCTTTATTAAGTGAAGGTTAGAATAAAATAAAAGAAAAATAGAAAATATTACATATTATCAATTTTTTTTTTTAATATCGAAAACTAAAATTCCATTTGTTTTCTATCTCATGTTGTAAAGCTCATTAATAAAATAATAGAAAAATAGAAAATATTACATATTATAAATATTTTTTTTTGATTATCGAAAACTAAAATTCAGTTTTTTTCTAGCTAAAGTTCTAAAGCTCACTAATAAAATAAAAGAAAAATAGAAAATATTACATATTATAATTTTTTTTTTTTTTTGAATATCGAAAACTAAAATTCTATTTGTTTTCTATCTGAAGTTCTAAAGCTCACTAATATACTTATAATGAATAATTTTAACTTTGCAATTCAGTTTATATAATTCTTATAAATATTAGACAGTGTCCTTCATTTTAAATTCGATTGATTAAATTTTGTTTCTGTGAACATATATAGTTACAGTATTTATAATAATCTATTTGAAAACATTTCACACTCCTCGAAAATTCCGTTACGGTACGGGAAGTTCCAGCAATTTGCCTTAAGGCACTATGCCATACACCACTAGTTCATTTTACATTGAGATTCGATTTACTTGACAATAGAGTTCTCTTTTTCATCTCATATCAAAATTCAGTAGAGTCCTTACCTAACGTGAATATACTAGTTAGTGGAAATTTTATTCGTCTCAAATCTTCAATAATATTTCTTTTGAATAGAATCATTCTCTTATGTTTTACATTAAACAATCAATTTAAATAATAAATTGCTGTACTTAATGTACGCTTGATGGCAGTATGTTTTTGATAGCTTTTTTCATACTTATATAAGGTATTTGAAACAAATACATATATATGCAAACAATATTAAATTATGATAGTATATATAATGATATGCCCATAACG